GCTCTGATCAGTTCTGATCGGCTTTGATCAGTTCTGATCGGCTCTGATCAGCTTTGATCAGCTTTGATCAGTTCTGATCGGCTCTGATCAGTTTTGATCAGTTCTGATCGGCTCTGATCAGTTCTGATCGGCTCTGATCAGCTCCGATCGGCTCCGATCGGTTCCAATCAGCTCCGATCAGCTCTTATCAGCTCCGATCAGCTCTTATCAGCGCTTATCAGCTCTGATCAGCTCCGATCAGCTCTTATCAGCGCTTATCAGCTCTGATCAGCTCCGATCAGCTCCGATCAGCTCCGATCAGCTCCGATCAGCTCTTATCAGCTGATAAGGAGTGCTGGGGAAGGCCGGGATCCTCCCACCCACACCTGGCACCTGGACAAACGGATCCTTCCCAAAGGAACCTTTCCCAAATTGATCCTTCCCAAATTCACCCTTCCCAAATTGATCCTTCCCAAATTCACCCTTCCCAAAGGAATACTTCCCAAATTCACCTTCCCAAATTGATCCTTCCCAAATTCACCTTCCCAAATTGATCCTTCCCAAATTCACCTTCCCAAATTGATCCTTCCCAAATTCACCCTTCCCAAATTGATCCTTCCCAAACAGATCCTTCCCAAATTCATCCTTTTCAAAGGAATTCTACCCAGATTGACTCTTCCCAAATGAACCTTTCTGAAATGAACCCTTCCCAAATTCACCCTTCCCAAACGGATCCTTCCCAAATTCATCCTTTTCAAAGGAATCCTTCCCAAATGGATCATTCCCAAATCCAGCTTTCCCAAATTGATCCTTCCCAAATTGCCTCTTCCCAAATTGATCCTTCCCAAAGGGACCCTTCTGAAATTGATCCTTCCCAAATGGATCCTTCCCAAATTAACCCTTCCCAAATGAACCCTTCCCAAACGATCCTTCCCAAAGGAATTCTACCCAAATTGACTCTTCCCAAATGGACCCTTCTGAAATTAATCCTTCCCAAATTAATCCTTCTGAAATTAATCCTTCCCAAATTAATCCTTCTGAAATTAATCCTTCCAAATGGATCCTTCCCAAATGAACTCTTCCCAAACGATCCTTCCCAAAGGAATTCTACCCAAATTGACTCTTCCCAAAGGGACCCTTCTGAAATTAATCCTTCCCAAATTAATCCTTCTGAAATTAATCCTTCCCAAATTAATATTTCTGAAATTAATCCTTCCAAACTTCACCGTTCCCAAATTGCTTCTTCCCAAATGGCCCCTTCCCAACTTCACTCTTCCCAAAGGAATCCTTCCCAAATTCCCGGGCTCTGCCCAGCGGGTCCGGGGCGTCCGGAGGGGCCGAAGCGCCGGCAGATTTCCCGAGGAAACGGGATGGGAACGGGAGCACGGGAATCCCCACCGACATTCCGGTGGGGCTGGGAGCGCCGGAGCTGGGGAGCGCTCGGGAAGGGACGTCCGGAGAGATCCGAGGGGTTTGGAGGATCCGAGGGAGGATTCCAGGCAGGATTCAGCCTTCCCAAACCCTTCCCATGCTGGATCCCATCCAAATCTTTGCTGGATCCCATCCCAAACCCTTCCTCTGCTGG